TAATAGTCTGTGCTTGTGTCCATAATAATAATAATAATATTAATAATAATAATAATATCAGCTCGCATGTACCCCATGGGTGAGATCACCCATGGGGCTAACGCATCTGTCGGCAAAAGAGTTAGAGAAAACGAGAAACACATGACATACACACCTTCTTCATTCTGTTATTGCAGGGAAAAACTACCTCGATTCCACCATGAGCCTAGGCATGAGGAATATAATATTAAGTACCGGTACAGAATGTTATTTACCAAAAGGATATTCAAGTAAGCGCAGATATTTATTTAGCATGATACGTTAGTACATTGATTCACAATGCCGAGCCAAGCTTCCCTGTCTTGGGAAATAGCTTCCGCTTCGGCAATGGAAACGTTTATTGTCTTTAAGTCATTCTTGATGTTGTCGATCCATCTGGTGACGGGGCGTCCCCTGGTCTTCTTGATGTCTTTGGTGACGATTGAAAGTCTTAGAGCTTTGTAGGATGTCGAGTCACTGCCTTCTCTGATTACATGGCCGAACCATAACAAGCGCCGTTCCCTGCATGTTCTGGTGATAGGCAATTGGTTGGACAGCTTGTATAAGTTTAGCTTGTGTCCATGCCTACCAGAAATTGTACTCGATAACCAACCAATAGTCAGTCGATAGCATTGAATATAGTCGATAGCATTGAATATTATACGAAAGTAGTCGATTCGTTTTAGGGTGAAATGTTTCACCCCTAAGTGCCCGCTTCTGTGAGTTCCCTTCGGGACCGGACACGAAAATTTACTCACTTACTTCAAGTGCATTGCTGTGATTTACACCTTAACTTTGTGGGCATATGTAGGACTCAGTGACCCATCAAGGCTCCGAGATCAATCACGGTCCCCGTGCCCAGTCAAACTTTCACAAATCCCCATGACCAGTCACAAATTAGTTGACCAGTCACAATGCCCCATGGACAGTCAAAAATCACCATACATGTGCATGTGTAGGGCACACAGTTCGTGACTGCTCATGAAGAACTTCGTACTGCAGGATTTGTTGTGGAAACTATCATTCCCTATGAGCGGTCACGGGTAGAATACAGTTGTGATTCCATGCGAACAGTCACATGCGACATGTAGTTGTGACCAATATTTCCCTGTGAGTAGTCACAGGCAGAATGAAGGTAGTTCAGACAGCTTGCTGTCTACAGCATTGGGTAGTTCTGTATTATTACTATTCAAGCACATCTTTTTTCAAACAATCCTCAAGCCAAGAAGTGATGCGCAGACAGAAGAACCGTACTCTTGGTGATACTGATCGCAAACATGATTAGTTCCTCCACGCCATTGAGTACCCAATTCTAAACCTTATCAAAACAAAATTCTTGTCAAAGCAGCATGCCAGTTCAAGAACATCTGGTCAGATATCCATATCGATTTACACGTCTGGTGGGCTCTCACCAATAAACCGGCATAGCAGGCTACATTTGCACCAGCAATCACAAGAAGTTATAGTGAGTGAATATTTCCATAAAATTAATAAGTAGAAGGAACATACGTAATGGACAAATGAAGGTCATGAGGCTCGCCCAAAAACACTGGCAAGAAGACAGTAAACGGTACACAGTGCTCGTATCCATGTACTATTTGCAAATATTATAAAACACGTTGTACCGGAGGGTGTACCCAGTGTGCTGACAGTGCTCGACACCGCGGGGGCAGAGCGTAATACAGAACAGAACAACAAGGACAATCAAGGCTTGTTTGCTGCGACTTGAAGTTTCATGCTCTCGCAATCATCAGGCAAAATGAAGGTTGGGTGCCGACCATGATGCCAGTACATATGCCAGGAGAAGATTGGGCTAGCGGTGTTATTTTAGGTAGGAGGCTGTGTGCACAGTGTGTGGTTGTTGAAGGCAGGGGCTAGCAATTTTGCTTTTTGCAATTTTAGCGTAGAATGTGTGGCTGGTGTGGGCAGGAGGTGGTAAGCAATGTGTGTGGATGTTGTAGGCAGGAGGCTATAGTCTAGAGCTTGCAGTGTGATATTAGCACAGTGTACATGTACATGTATACGGCTGATGTGGGCAGGGTATTATGAGCAAGGTGTGTGAACGTGAATGGTGTGGGCAGGAGGCTGTGGAGACATACTTAGGTGATACCGTGGTATTTTAGGAGATACTGGTTCTCATGTCGGCACTTGGACATCATTTTCAAGCGTTTGTTGAGGCTGGATGGTGACCCTAGCGTGTTCAAGATGTGGAACTTTTCTCAGGTACAGAGGGAACACAGCTTTGTGATGTTGGAGTATGCTCGGGCGCGATCTTTTATCCACCATTCAACTTCGTACGGGATGTTGGATTTCTTCAGTTTCCAGATGTGGTTCAAGAATTCAGCCCTGCTAGAGTACTTTACTACCGAAAACCCAACGACACCCCACTGTATGTCAACGTCCACTCCAATCACCCACCGCAAGTCCTTAAGAACATCCCAGCTGGCATCAACAAAACGACTGGCAAGCATCTCCTGCTCAGAAGCGGTGTTTCATGACGCAACTCCCATCTACGCGGAGGCCCTCAACGCCAGCGGCCACCCTAGCACGCTAGTGTTCAAACAGAAAACAAGAAAATGAAGAAGAGGAAGATCTGCATGTAGATGTACACTGTGCCTATATCACACTGCTAGCTGTAGACTATAGCCTCCTGCCTTCAACATCCACACACATTGCTCACCACCTCCTGCCCACACCAGCCACACATTCTGCGCTAACATTGCACTGTTAGCCCCTGCCTTCAACAACCACACACTGTGCACACAGCCTCCTGCCTAAGATAACACCGCTAGCCCCAACCTTCTCCAGGAATATGTACTGGCATGTTCGGCACCCAACCTTAATGTTGCCTGATGATTGCGAGAGCATGAAACTTCAAGTCGCAGTAAACAAGCCTTGATTGTCCTTGTTGTTCTGTTCTGTAATACACGTTATAGATGACGGTGTACCATAATGTTACATCAACACATCTAACAGAGTTATACTGGGTGTGGGAATGAATAGAAGATGTGTTCAAAGCAATAAACTGTGCAAGCATTACGTTGAGCCCCAATATTGAAATGCAGTTTCCTGCAGTCAAAACAAGAGACTCAATCATCTCCGATCTACATCGCCATTCTCATGGCTAACACGACATGATGTACTTTCTTACGATGGTGCTTGAAATGGATCGATGAAGTCTTGAATAGATGTCTTCCCTGAACGATTTCAACTGAGAGGAAGTTTCAGTTTCAACAAGCTGGACATTGTTTTTTTCTGTTGAGTCCTCCACAAGAAAGACAGAGCAACGCACACGAAGGTGCCTGATGTCTCCGGACATTCTTGGCGATGAACATAATATTATTTTCATTGCCATCTTTTTTTACATTTTCGTCTCTGCATGGTCAACGATGTTCATTTCTGGATCCACAAAGCAAGTGCTGCTGGTATGTTGGATCATTTGAAATCAGTCTCCGTTCTAAGAAGATCGGCATGAAAAAAATACTTGACTGACAATATTCTGAAATAGCTTTTCTGAACGACGAAGTTCTTTCTTCAAAGGTGATGAATAGCACGATCTACTAGCCAGAACGTTCTATCAAAAGAGATACTATCTGAAGCCACTAAGATGCTCGACCGCCTTTTGTTTTGGAGAGGAGCCCACACACACCTGACTCGAGCTACAAGTTGACTACACGGAGATCGAGAGTTCTTGCTCACTTCTGAACCATGTGAAGGAAAACAGTTTGTTGATCGCATGAATGCCTCCAGTTGAGTCATAATAATTTTATTCTGACGTGGATCCTGTGACCATTCACAGACAAAGTCGCGGCTGTTTATGACTGGTCATCGGGATTCAAACTGGTGTGGCACTTTATGACTGTTCTTCGGGGATTTGTGACTGTTTCATTGCTGACGGGGATGGTGACGTGACTGCTCACTGAGTCCTACATCGATAAACCCAAAAAAATTTTATCTTATTACTGTTGTCTGATGATGGCCTGATCAAAAGGGGTAAGTAGCAGCATTCGGCCTTGTCCAGAGTCTTATCCACCACCACACCACACCGCTGCGCTCTCTGGCCGACCTCAACACGTTGCCACAGCTCACTATCAGCAAAACGACACTTCAGTTAGTACTCTGCTTCTTCAGACAACAGCTGTTCTCACTAACACCCTTTAAATTGTTAGTATCCTCAGTGTAGTCGATCTGTATCGCCTTTGCTTAGCCCTAATCTTCGCGCCTAGGATGCGCCATTATGTTTTCCCCCCCTTTTTTCCCCTAAGATGCACCATTATGCTTCCTCCTTTTTTTGCTACAAAAGGATGAAGTTCTCTATCTGCTACCCATCCTACATTGTCAACCTTCACTGACGAGATCCTGATGATCGAAACAGCTGCTGTCTGAAGGAGCAGTGTACCAACTGAAGTGTCATTTTGCTGATGGTGTGCTCTGGCAACGTGTTGAAGTCGTTCGGAGAGCGCAGCGGTGTGGCGTGGTGTTTGATGATCTTCTAGTGTGTAAAACTCAGAGTAACACCTAGTTATTAATCCTCTACGTCTTCATATATAAAATAGCGAGGCAGAAGTGCGCCAAGTGTGCCTCACGTGGCCAGGGCTTCCAAAACATGCGCAAATCAACGCTGCCTCCCCGAATGACTCTAGGAGGACTGTTGCTAGACCCGCATGAGATACTCCTAGCGGCTAGTACACTCGTGCATTTTAGCCAACAATCACAGGGAAGCGTGTCGCAATGCCAGTGGTGAGCCGAAAGATGCCAGCCCTGCGGATTGTAAACAGATGGTGCTTTCTGCTACGTGGGTCTCTTCAAGCCACTGGTGTCGCTTCAGTTCTTGGACTAGGGATTAGTGTTTTAGACACATTTGTAGAAATAGACTGGTCCCCTGCCGTTCTAGCATTGCTCTGCATGACACAGTCTTGATATGTTCAGGTTACTTTGTTGGACGGTAGCAATAATATTACATACAATAGTTCAGGGTGAGTGTCGCAGGCTTAACCCTATCTGTGGATTGGATTGAGATCGATACCAAAGAGACCATCGAGAGTAACATGATCGCCAGGGTTCTTCACGGCACCAGCGCCCTGCTAATCGCTATCAGTAAGTCATGCATGTAGTTCTGGATGACAGTCTAGTCTTCTCTGGCTGCTAGGAAAGATAATAATTGTGAACATTTGGATGCAGATTACTCGAACAGTGCATAGTGTGCCTCATTAACACAAGAGAAAGCAAAATAGCCCCAGAAAGATTTCTCTGAGTTCTTGGAGTCGAGCCAGATGATCATCAGTGGAATTGAAAGAGCCAAATGACAAACAAAGGCAAGAAAGAAATTTCGACTGGCCCGCAACAACTAATATTCTGTTTGTCTGTAGCCTAAGACAGTGCTAGGTTCATGTACTTCAAAGTATAAAGATAGTGCTGCTCACTCGCTACTTTTGCATTATTGTAATATGGCTACAGGTCTGTTTGGCTCTGGATCGCTTGGTGCAATATTGCGAAACTGCCAACCAGAAGATGGAAAAATACATGTCCATGGCGATACTGTATACGTCCAGCCAGCAAATGATACTTTTACTACTCGAAATGTCGGGGCTGAGGGAAAACTCTACAAAAAGCCGTTCATCTTCACATCACCATGCGATGTATCCTTCAAGGCTATTTCTCTTCTGTACTTCGGAGCATGCTCTGTATCAGTGAGTTATGGAAGTGATAACAGAGTTCTTGAAATACTTCAATTTCCAGATCCACCGACAGACACCTGGCATCGTAGAAACGTGAGCCTGACAAACACTGCTTCCCAATCGCTTCACGGGTTCATGAAAAGAAATAACACCAGAAGGTTCCTGATCACGATTTCCAAAGGGAGATCTAATTGTCAATTAGTCGGAGTCGATCACAATAAAGGAAGAGGACTGGTCATCATTGGACAGGGTAAGCAGTTATATTATGGAATTTCCCAATTTTTATTTTCCTTCGGAACTGCTCAAAATATCCTTGAAAATCTTACGTCTGTTTCCACGATGCACACCGAGTGGGTCGAATGTCCGAACGGAGCCTACCAGCCAATTGAGTTGCCCTGTGCCCAATATACATGTTAGTCGAAGAAGTTCATTTTGATCTGATCTTATTCCTTCGTCATGTGATTGATCACCGGGTATATTTTCAACTCTCTCTTTTTCCCTCCCCTTGCCTCTCTCTCTTCTTGTTTCTCTCTCTTTCTCTTTCTCTATAATAATCTGTACAGCACATAATTATTTGTCTTGACAATTGTAGCTCATGGTCCTCCGTACTTCTATGGCATATCTGTAGTTTGTCTGCAGTCGCCTTCTAAATTAACCTTCAGTCTTTTCGCAACGCTTGGTGTTCTCTGCAGTTATTCCAACGTCCATTTCAGCAAGACCTGTCACCAATACTGCTATAGCCACAAACCAAGCCTCTACCCATTCCACACAGAAGACGGTTTCCTCTACAGTACCAACTTCAATAATGACCACTCCCTCAGTGGATTCAAGCAGGACCGAGGGCATATCTCCTTCTACAGCGGAGGCCATCTTACTGGTGGAGTCAACTAGCGGAACGGGCACCTCTATTCCTCGGACCAAGCTATCTGCTTCAACAACAAGGAACATTGAACAACTTGACAGTGACTCGGTTGGATTTAATTTAGTTACCAGCATTGTTATTCCCTTGGTTTTACTGGCCGTTCTGCTAGGCGTTTTTATTCTGATGTTATTGGTTAGGTCAGGAACCTTTCTCTCCAAGAGCAGTCATCCGTGGATTATTGCTGTTCGTAGATCAACCAGCCCCAAAAATATGCCAGACCCGATAAATCAGTTTTACCAGAATCGCGATGGTACTAACAGCGTTGACCAGAGTCCTACGGCAGAACTGACAGATCCCGGCCTGTATTCGGCTGTTGGACCTGGGTACCGCAATCCAAACAAACGACCCCAGACACCTCCTGGCATACCTGCTGCTCGTTATGACATTGTTACAGAGAATGAGTCGTACACGTTCGCGACCTGTAATGGTGCTGCTCCGACGAGTTATGTGAATACGGAAACGAAGCAGAAAGATGCTGGTGAGCCATACGCTAGTGTGCAGTCAATGTTTGACCAACCAACACAGGAAGTCCAGTCAAATCCGGCAAACAACGAAACACAAGCAGCTAGATGTGAAAAATGCTCAGCTCCAACAGTAAGCTACGCAGTTCCTCACAAGCGGAATTCGACAGATGTTTGCAGACACTACGAGAAGGCAGAGGAGTGCACGGCTTCTAAGCGTGATGAAGCACCCAGCACAGCAAATTCAATCGAACACATATGTCGTGCTACGGATGTAACATCACTTAGCGTCTTATCGAAGTCCGCAAAATCAGCCGTACATAACCAGGATAAGTCTATCAATCCAGATGATGTGGAGCGCAAACAACGCCGTGGTCTGAGTGACGCAACAACAGTAGTATGCCGCGATAACACCACCACCACTACCAGCACCTACCCGCCGTCATCTCGCTTATCCCTTCTAGCCACAAACACGTCGACACCGGCCCGGTCAGACAGCCAAAGGTGTGTGTCTCCATCTCCAGTCCCAAAGCCTCTGCCATATCGGGTATTCAAAGTATTGAAGGACAGCCAGGGCGATTACATGAACCCGCAGGACACAGTCTCCAGTCAAGGGGCTGACCAGGCTGATACAGACACCGATCCTAACATCTATGCAGAACCAGCCATCTCCCTGAGCGATGATGGATTGTACAACGCATCCACCATTGGCAAAAGAGATGACGTGGGTGGTATCAGCAGTGTGCCGGTCGATCTTCCTGATCTTTCTGCAATATATGCTGTGCCACAGAAAAACTGTGAAACGTGAAGTATGTTCGTCTAATCGTTTTTAATTCAGTTTCAGATCACATTCGCTTGCTTCTCACCATTTATTCTCATTTCCTGGCCAGGATTGAAATGATTGTCGTCCGTGCCGACGACTTCCAAAATCAATCACTTGTTGCCACGCTTTGTTTCTAATTCGAATTTCGGAATTACATCAAGTGAAATTATTCACAGAATCTGCACGAACATATCCCTTCCAACCCTATAACGTTCTATCGGACTATCCCTATCATCACCGTACCACCCGATTCTATCTATTTTGCATGTAACGCAGGTGATATTTTCTAATCGATTACTAAATAATCGATTAATAAATTTTACTATCACAACCCCCCGCTCTGTCTACTCGGACAATACTGCTAGCCTGTCAGTCGTTTTAAACAATTATAATAACTTCTGAATGAAGTTGAAGACTTTGTGTTGCCTTAAATGTTACAATTCATACTTGTATACTTTCAGTGCTGTTGTTGCACCTTCTAGGGTGTGCAGGTGTTATTAACCCTGACTTTGGTTTTCTGTCACCTGTGTTGCAATGTCCTTTAGACTTTTGTTCAGCAACTATTCCTGAAGAGTGTTGCACGACAACTTGTTAGAATCATAAATATTGTCTTCACTACATTTCTTCGATTGTTATATTTCTTTTCAGTTCCATCGTTCGACATTGCACGGATGACGGCCAAGAAAGAGAGAGAGAGAGAGAGAGAGAGAGAGAGAGAGAGAGAAAGAGAGAGCGAGAGAGAGAGAGAGGGAGAGAGAGAGAAAGAAAGAAACCGAGGCCGAGCGAGAGAGAGGGAGAAAGAGAGAGAGAGTGACAGGGAGGGACAGAGAGACATGGAGAGACACAAAGCGACAAAGAGATACAGAGAGAGAGAGAAAGAGAGGGAGAGAGAGACAGAGTGAGAGACAGAGACAGAGAGAGACAGAGAGACAGAGAGAGAGAGAGAGAAAGTGAGAGAGAGAGAGCGAGAGAGAGAGCGAGAGAGAGAGGGAAAGAGAGAGATAGAAAGAGAGAGGGAGAGAGATAGGGAGAGAAAGAGAGAGAGAGAGAGCAAGAGTGATAGAGGGAGAAAGAAAAAAAATATTAAGAAAGAGAGAATGTGAGAGCAAGAGAGTTAGAGAAAGACAGAGCGACAGGCCGAGACAGAGGGGCAGACAGAGGGACAGACAGAGACAGTAATTGAGGCAGGGACAGACAGAGGGACAGACAGAGACAGTAATTGAGGCAAGGAAAGACGGAGACAGATACAGAAACAGAAACAGAGAGTACGAGAACTAGAAGGAGAGAGAGATTGACACAGAGAGAGAGAGAGCGATATAAAGCGAGAGAGGGAGACAGAGAGAGATACAGAGAGATACAGAGATTCAGAGAGAGAGAGAGAGAGAGAGAGAGAGAGAGAGAGAGAGAGAGAGAGAGAGAGAGAGAGAGAGAGAGAGAGAGAGAGAGAGAGAGAGAGAGAGAGAGAGAGAGAGAGAGAGAGAGACAGAGAGAGAGAGAGAGAGAGAGAGAGAGAGAGAGAGAAGGAGAGAGAGAGATAGATAGAGAGAGAGAGAGAGAGAGAGAGAGAAAGAGAGAGAGAGAGAGCGAGAGAGACAGACAGACAGAGGAAGAGAGAGATAGAGGGAGAAAAAGAGAGAATGAGAGAGTTAGAGAGAGACAGACCGACAGACAGAGACAGACAGAGACAAGCCGCGACAGAGGGAGAGACAGTGACTGAGGCAGCGACAAATGCATACAGATACAGAAACAGAAACAGAGAGAGAAAAAGAGAGAGAAAGAGAAAAAGAGAGATATATAGAGAAAGAGGGAGAGAGAAAGAAAGAGAAAGAGAGAGAAAGAGAGAGAGATAAGGGGAGAGGGGGTGGCAAGACCATGATTTCTAAATAGAGCAAAATGGGAGCTGTGATTCTAGAGGGAGTTATCCAGGCCCAAAGGCTGTGGCAAAGATGCTTGTGGACTTTCTCATTGAAGTTTTGGGCAGCTATGTACTATGCACGTGCCGAGAGAAGCCATTGTTGCAACTTGTTCCATTCCTCGATCGTTGTATAGGGGAAGTAGGGGCGAGGGATGTTGGCTGAGCTAGCTATAAGCAGATAACATTGCACGACACTGACCGACCGTACTGGCGTTCTACAACTAACTGGCTAACGGCTCTAGCACATCTTTGATGCGCACTAAAACAGCCTTCCAACTTGGAAGGTTCTAAGTTATAGGAATAACATAAGGAGGGGAAGGTGACCAAGTTACTTGTAGAACGTGAGTACCGTCGGTTAGTGTCGTTCAATGTTATCGCATGAGCTGATTGTTTAGTAACTGGTGGTGTCAGTGGACAGTATAGCGTAACTTGTAGTTCCTTGGGTTTTTCTCGTTTGTATAAATTTTTGAAAGGATTGGGAGAACTTCAAATTCAAAGAATCAGTCGGGAAAGTGAAATAATAATGGATTCACAGGGATTGTGAGTAATAAAGTCAGGAGAAAATGTTAAGCAGTCTCTGCTGGGATGACGACTACACAATAGCTCCATGGTTAGAGTATCGCTGGCTACAAGCGAGTGTCCCTGGTTCGAGTCCTGATGGAGACAGTCATTTTTTCTTCAGATATTTCCCGGTTGTGTCTTTGTCCCAAACCTGCTCCTCGCGTGCTAGTCTGTACGTGAAGTGTGTGGGTACAGTGATGGCTGCGTCCCATCCGTCTGTGTCGATTCACAGGGAGTGTGAGTTGGGTAAGACTAAAGGGACAAGCTTATCTATTTTTGCGGATTTTCTTTCATAAAAAATAAACGTCACTGGCTGCTCTTCGCAGGTGTCCGCGTCCCAGCGGTCTGGACAAGCGACCGCATCTCAGTGGGACACTTGACAGTGGCCTTTGTACTGGAATCTGGAACCAGGTACGGACAAATCCCTGGTGTTGCTCCTTTTTTGTTCCGTTCCTTTATTAAATGAAAAGGCGACGAGGAGACAGTAACTTTATTAATGCGATTAATAGTATAAGTAAAGCGGACATTACAAAATGATGAATGAGAATACATGTATCTAAGATGGTTGTTCCTAATCGACTGAAGGTGAGACCACTACGAAAGGGTCAGCAATTAAGAAACACCTCTTGTCTAGTAGCCAATGCCGCTCAGTGTATGATTTTGATTGATTGATTTTATTTTACTTCGCAAGTTCAAACGGGTTCCTGGCCCAGTTATATGAAAGCGAAGGATAGAATTTTCCAAAATCCTAATGAGCAACAGCATAGGCAATATTATCGTAGAAGTGGAGTACTATGCGAGCGAGAATACTGAGAAGAAAGGAACATGTCAAAACCTGACGATATGATGATTCATGCTTCACTGTTTTGTGTCGTGCTCGTAGATTTCGTGAACTTAAGGTATTACTTCAAGTAGAAGCTGTTTTCATCCGTAAACACAATCCAAATCTATGCATTCAGAAAGAAAATGTCACAAAACTGAGACTCTTCACCTAGCATTCACACACGTATTCATTCGCATACACCTACACCTCACAGTTCTTCACTCTATCACATTCACCTGCTTCCACGCCTTCATTTCACTCACCTTTTGTAGTAGCTCACACCGTCAGAACACTCTCACATCTTTTCTTCTAATTTCTTTCGTCTTCTCTCCCACTTTAGTTTTTTTCACACCTCACCTTGTATACTTTCCACTATCCGATAACCTATAAGTAGTTTGTTTCTCCGTATAGCCTCTATTGTGAGACGATTTTCCCTGATGATAGTCTCAAGAAAATCGATTAGGAGCAACCATCTTAGATACATGTATTCTCATTCATCATTTTGTAATGTCCGCTTCACTTATGCTATTAATCTTTCCTTTATTATTATTATTTGTTTTTGTAGAGAAAGAAACGTTGCTGAGATTTGACCACGAGTACTGTAGTATTTGTTCTTGCTGAGAAAGAAACGTTGCTGCATGAAAAGCTTTCTGTTCAATCCAGCGTCTTTGCTCTAGTAACATTGCTGGCTGATAATGGTCATTGCTCGTGATGCCGATGGTGAAGAGAAGCTGAGTTTCCTGCCATTTGAAACTTCCTGACTCTGAAAATGTAGCTTTAACTAAGAGCTCCAAGTATTTTAGTTTTTCGATGTGCCAGACCTCTTGTTACATGCTGCAGAGATGAGGAGCAAGGGAGGCGTTGGATTAATGCCAATGATGGTGTTTATGGCCCTGAAGACGCCAGGAGTTTTAACTTGTCAGGAGGACAGCCAAGTTGGAGCAGGCAGATGACAGATTATTTGGCATTTATAGCATATCGTCTCAGCACCTCATGGTTACTAGTATCTGACAAGTGCCTCTTATTGCTAGTCTGCATTAGAGCATAGCAGAATTGATCAATGAAGGTGTTTATGGCCCTGAAGACGCCGGCAGTTTTCACTTGTCAGGAGGACAGCCAAGTTGGTGCAAGCAGATGACAGATTATTTGGCATTTATAGCATATCGTCTCAGCACCTCATGGTTAGTAGTATCTGACAAATTCCTCTTATTGCTAGTCTGCATTAGAGCAAACCAGAATTGATCATGTCACAAGTAGTGTCAAGACTTGATGTCCTACGATTATGCTCAGATCATGTTGCAACTTCAGGGGAATACTCGTCCTGCCACTGTATGCTCTCCCAGCATGCAGAAGTCATGTGCCTGTCACAGTGTGCAAGGGACAACGCGTTTGCATTGTTATGGATGCAAGCGGATGGAGTGTAGACCAGGAGAGAAAAAGTGATCCAGATATTCAACTAGCTTGGACTGCCATTATTAATTGGCCAGGTGCCTGGACCATCTGAACATTGCTCCGAACCAATCCACAGAAACAATACCCACACAGGAAGCCAAATGATAAACCCATTCATCAGCTTTCGAAACTGTCATCGAAACGTAATGCAGTGCATGCCTACTACTGCTACTTAAACGAGATCAACGGATGCCACATGTCTTTAACAGGTACCATGTGGAGGCTCAGTATTTTCAAGAACACAGTGCAGTCTAAACAACTAGAACAACGGGTCTTGCACCTAATGTCCCCGATTTGCTTGCCGTGTTTAGGTCTTTGCAATTCTCCGAAGGTTACGTACCACAGTATGAGATATATGAGGGATCCCGGCAGCATGATAGATCCACCGGTACGTGAAATTCTCCTGGACGTTTGTGTGTGGTTATAGTGGTACAGGACATGTGATGTACGCCTCTGGTCGCTCACACATGATCCATTGCCGGTGTCACATAGCACTACTCCCCCCCCCCCCCCCCCTTAGCGCTTGGCCCCCGGGGGAAAAGTACTATGCACCGGAGTATAGTGATTGGACCCCCGGGGAACTTTACTATGCAGTGTTTGCACACCCGGGAACTTTACTATGTAGCAGAATGCCCCCCCCCCCCCTCATACCACGGTCACACATACACAGTCATGCCTGAACCAGGTACATGTTGTAGAGAAGAGAACAAGACCACATGTACTACAAACACACGCCTGGGAAATTTGAAACTACTTAGCTAGCTCAATACGGTTTGGGCAAAAACTGCTATATTTCTCGCCAACAACGGCTTCCCTGGCGATAGAGTCTTGATCAGAGGCAATGTTTCGGTGTGTGGAAGCATTGACTGCCCACAGTTTCGAGAAAAGCTCCAAGCGATAATTCTTTTCTTCGCTTTCTTGCTTTCTTGCCAGAGGTCTCAAGACCAACACAACACAATTCGTCGTCAAAAAGTACTCAGCGTAGATTTCGTGCCCAATTCCACCCCAAAAAATTTACGCTGACCTCTATCTCTCGCCACCAATTGAACCCACTGATATATACATCTACACGAGCAATAGTTCGAGTCAAAAGAAGGACAACTTCGCAATGAGCATACTTTCTTAGGGTAATATTCTACATGTACATGTGTAATTTTGGTGGTGACAGTCAATTTTTTCTTTAGACTTTCCCCTTTCCATTCCCTCAACTTATGAGTACATGTACATGTATACTCGGTACTCGTAATTATAACACCATCGAGATGACAAATTGACCAGAAGAAAGACATGAAATTGCTTCCTTTTCCTACAAGTGTATTCTCATACTATTTGGGATGCTTTACTGTTTTCCGTGACACGAAAGCAGTAAAGCATCCCAACTTGTATGAGCATGCATGTGTACATAAAGGAAGCCTTTGTTGCCAGCAAACACTGGCTGCGGACATGAACATTATCACGGCGAACAGAGCATTGGTACAAACACGGACACACACGCATGCACACACACATATAAGCATGCACACACACACGCACACACACACACACGCGCGCGCAGCAGCTTGCTACAAGAGAATCATGCTAGTAATGCACTTCAGCAGGACATTAGCACATGCACCCGTTTTGGGCTGTGACAGACAGCGACGAAGAGAGGGAAAGAGAGAGAGACAGAGAGAGAGTCAGAGAGAGAGTCAGAGAGACAGAGAGACAGAGAGAGAGAGAGAGAGAGAGAGAGAGAGAGAGAGAGAGAGAGAGAGAGAGAGAGAGAGAGAGAGAGAGAGAGAGAGAGAGAGAGAGAGAGAGACAGAGAGAGAGAAAGAGAGAAAGAGAAGGAGAGAAAGAGAGAGCCACTTGTTGCCAATTGCATTGGCTTTGCCTTGCTACCCCATTGTAGCACAATGTGGGTTTATTGCGGCTCCTCACGAGCCAGTTGCTGCCAGTGGCCTGGCATTGCTTTCCAGCTCTTCGAGCTCCTGCATTACAAGACCAGTTACTCGAAGCAGCACACTATCTCCAAAACAATTCCTTGTTGCCTTGGGCTGAGTATGAGTGTGTGAGGGATATGGTGCTAATAGCATTTTGACGTGGATGCTGTGACCGTTCACAGAAAAAGTCGCGGTTGTTTGTGACTGGTCATTGGGATTCAAACTGGTGTGGCACGTTATGATTGCCCTTCAGGGATTTCGGACTGTTCCATTGGTCACAGGGATCGTGATCCGTCAACAAGACCTGACGGCTCACTGAGTCATATATCTTTAAACCGCAAAAAAGATTTATCTCATTACCATGATTACCGTTGTCTGATGATCGTCAAATGTGTAATACTCAGAGTAACACCTAGTTATTAATCCTCTACTTCTTGAAACATCAAATCGCGAGGCAGAAGTGTGCCTTACGTGGCAAGGGCTTCCAAAACATGCGCAAATCAACGCTTCCTCCGTAAATGACTCTAGGAGAACTCCTGCTAGACCCGCATGAGATACTAGTACTCCTAGCCGCTAGTACACTTGTGAATTTTAGCCAACAATCACAGGGAAGCGTGTCGCAATACAATGCGAGTGGTGAGCCGAAAGATACCAGCCCTGCGGATTTTAAACACACAGATGGTGCTTTCTGCTACGTTGGTCTCTTCAAGCCAATGGTGTTGCTTCAGTTCTTGGACTAGGGATTAGATTTAGACACATTTGTAGAAATATACCTGTCCCCTGCCGTTCTAGCATTGCTCTGCATGAAGAAGGCTTGATATGTTCATTTTACTTTGTTGGACGGTAGCAATAATATTACAATAAAGAGTTCAGGGTGAGTGTCGCAGGCTTTACCCTATATGTAGATTGGATTGAGATCGATACCAAAGAGCGCTTAGAGAGAACCATGATCGCCAGGGTCCTTCACGGCACCAGCGCCCTGCTTATCACTATCAGTAAGTCATGTATGTACTTCTGGAAGTAATTCTAGTCTTCTTTTTTGGCCGCCAGAAAAGATGATACGTATGAACGTATGGATGCACATTATGGAAGCAGTGCTTAGCGTGCCTCACAAATGCAAGGGAAAGACAAAATCGCCCTCCAAAGATTTCTGGGATCTCGGAGTTGAGCAAGATGATCACCAGTGGAACTGAAATAGTCAGATGGCAAAATAAGGACACGAAAAAAACTTCGACTCTTCTGAATCAACTAATATTCTGAATATGTCTTGTGAATTTTGGTCCATAGTATATGACAGCGCTAGATTCGTCTCTAACGCTTGTGCTTCTGACTCGCTCCTTTGCATTATTGTATGTTGGTTGCAGATCTGTGTTTGTCTGGATCGCTTGGTGCAATATTACAAAACTGCCAACCAGAAGATGGAAAAATACATGTCTATGGCAATACTGTATACGTCCAGCCAGCGACTGACCCTGAGTCTCTAAGACTCAGGGTTGATGATGGAATCCTTTACAAGAAACTGTTCATTTTCAAATCACCATGCGATATATCCTTCGAAGCGATTTCTCTTCGGTACTACGGAACATGCTCTGTATCAGTGAGTTACGGAAGTGATAACAGAGTTCTTGAAATAGTTCAATTTCCAGATCCACTGACAACTCACTGGCATTCTAGAAACGTTAGCCTGACGAAATCTGCTTCTCAATCGCTTCACAGTTTCATGAAGAGATCTAACACCAGCAAGTTACTGATCACGATTTCCCCAGGGATATCTCATTGTCAATTGTACCCAGTCGACCACAATAGAGTAAAAGGACTGGTCATCTTTGGACACGGTAAGGCTTTGAAATATGGTGTTTCCCAACTCCTTTTTACCAGTGATGCAAAGGTATATTCGCATATTCGGAATATTCTAGGATACCTACACCAAAAAGAAAATTCGAATGCAGCCAGTAGCATTGGAGTACTCTGTCACTCGAACATTTGTGTTGCGTCGCTGTATTATGCAGCTCCCACCATGAATCCTCTGTAGTGCTTACGATAAGAGAGACGAAATATGTTCTTAGAGCTGTGAAGCTTGTTCTTTGGCCAGATTTTCTCTTTCACCAGTGAATATTTACTATCCAGGTTTTCTGTGGAGGACATGACTGTTGGGTTTGACTGATTGAAGTGACTGAGCCACTTCACAAGAATACCGTATATTCGTTTGTTCGCCAAAGCAATATTCCATGACATATTTATTCCAGAAAACATCTGTTGTTGCATCACTGCTTTTCACCTCAGACCTGCTCAAGAATATCGTGGAAAGAATATGTTGCCTGTTTCCACGATGGACACCAACTGCCTCTATATGGCCATGGAAACATGAGAAAGAGTCTGGTTATCATTCTCATTGACGTATTCAGCACACCAGGTGCAAGCAACGCTGTCTAGAAAAGTACCTTTGCGATGACTGCTTTTTAAAAGAAATTTGTGTGGAAACAAAGCTTTTGAAGTCAATTATTTTGCAGTCGCCTCATACAATTTGTTTAAACACTCCGTCTCTTCATAATGCTGGGTGTTTGTTCTCTGCAGTTGTTCCAACGTTTGTTTCACCCAGCTCGGTCACCAATACTGCAATAACGACAAATGTACCTTCTAGCCGTGCCTCAACAATACAAACTTCATTTACGACCGCTCCCTTAGTGGAGTCAACAAGCAAGATTGCAAAGATTGACAGTGACTCAAGTGGATTGAGTTTAGTTACCAGCATTGTTATTCCCTTGGTTTTACTGGCTGTTCTGCTAGGCGTTTTTATTCTGCTGTTATTAGTAAGGTCAGGAATCTTTCTCTCTAAGAGCAGTCATCCGTGGATTATTGCTGTTCGTAGAACAACCGGCCCCAAAAATCTGCCAGAGCCGAGAAATCAGTTTTACCAGAATCACGATGGTACTGACCGCGTTTACCAGAGTCCTGCGGCCGAACTGAGGGATCCCGGGCTGTATTCGTCTGTTGGACCTGGTTACGGCAATCCAACCAACCGTCCCCAGACACCTCCTGGTGCTCGTAATGACCGTGTTACAGATAATGAGTCGTTCATGTACGCTACCTGTGATGGTGCTGCTCCGATGAGTTATGTGAATACGGAAACGAGGCAGAAAGATGCTGGTGAGCCATACGCTAGTGTCCAGTCAATGTTTGATCAACCAGCGCAGGACGTCCAGTCAAATCCGGCAAACAACGAAACACAGGCAGCCGGATGTGAAGAAAGGTCAGCTCTGACTGTCTGCTACTCAGTTCCTCACAAGGGGAATACGACAGATGTTTGCAGACTTTACGAAAAGGCAGAGCAGTGCACGGCTTCTAAGCCTAACGAAGCACCCCGCACTTCAATTTACATCGACCCTATATGTCGTGCTACGGATGTAACATCACTTAGCGTCTTATCGAAGTCCGCACAATCCGACGTACAAAACCTGGAGAAGTCTATCGATCAAGATGATGTGGAGCGCGAACAACGCTGTGGTCTGAGTGACGCAACACCAGTAGTATGCCGCGATACCACAACCACCACCACCACCATTACCAGCACCAACCCGCAGTCATCTCGCCTATCCCTTGCAGCCACATCGATGCCGGTCGAATCAGACACCCAAAGATGTGTGTCTCCATCTCAGGTTCCAAAGCCTCTGCCATATCGGGTATTCAAAGTGTTGAAGGATAGTCAGGGCGATTACATGAACCCACAGGACACAGTCTCCAATCAAGGGGCTGACCAGCCTGATACAGACACTGATCCTAACATCTAGTATGAATATTCTTCATCCTTCAAAGTTCGTTTTGAAAACTATTCATACTTCCCAACAATCATTCTCACCCTTCTATTCGGCATGTTTTCTCATCATTTTGTAGATCTCAAACATACATGTATGTCACTCTGAGCGTAGGGTTTTGTCGGTGAAGCCCAATACTTTTAGCTAGCCGAACTAGTGTAGCTCTAAAATACATGGTATGTAGCCTCCTCCGGGATTATGCTCCTGCTTCTCCCACCCAAAGTCTAATTGACCCCAATCCTGAGTAGCAAATCTCCACTGCGCTACCCTATTGCACCCTTCATTTGACACTCTACTTTCACTCCTATTATCTGTTTAATTAATTTAATTGAAATATATCGTCATGACGAATCCCATTTTTGAATAGATGTCATGCGCAACCTTAAAGATTTAGTTACCCAGTTCTTTACTATCTTCTACACTGTCAGTAATAGATTTCAAAAATCCAACATACTGGTACTTTACGATGCTTTTCATTCAGATATAAACGAATGTGCCAATGGCGCGTATGCCTGTCGTGGAATGGCTAATCCTGGAAACAGAAAATGTGTGAATACTGTGGGGTCGTATTACTGCCGATGCCTGGACGGATTTACAGGTTCTACATGCATAGGTAAGCTGCATGATCTTCAGATTTCTTCCGCCAATTTAACCGATTCATCATTTGCGTCGTCGAGTTGTAGTGAGCCCTGTATTTCAAATTGTCTTGTTAACTCAGTTTTGTCATCATCGTGCAACTTGCAGCAATCTTTGTAGAAATTTTTCTTAAGTTGACGGGATAGAAAATTCTTCGTTGCTTCGGGCCTTTGCCTGGACTCTTCTTCGTTGAGCTGTCCTTCCAGTCTTGGACCTTTCGTAAACTCAGCCTTCCAAGTTGAAAGGTTATCGATTTGAGTCTGCCAGAAGATAAGTGTTAGAGTTAGGAGTCAGGTTGTTGAATGTCTCAGTACTGTTTGACAGCGTCATCCCTTCTTGTCGCACGAGCTATAAAGATCTGGTGACGTTAGTGGACAGTTATTCATAACTGGTGCCATTTTATCCTTCTCTTTTTATCTTTAATGAGTTTTTTTTTTTGAAACAGAAATGGTGCGGTGAAGAAAAGGAAGGGCAGGACGATCGAGGCGATTTTGTTTTGGTCCCCTGCAACCATTCAAACTGGAACCAATCGCTTATTGATATTCAGTTTGTGGATGAAATTCACGCCTCTTCAGTTGCATTTGATTGAACTTTGTGCTCCGGGAATGCTGCCAGTTGTTGCATTTCACCATCCTAAGATTACCGCCGCTCCATTTCCGGTGCGGTTGGTTGATTGTTTTTTTTTATTTTGCTTCGCACATTCAAACGGAATGACGACCCAGTAAAATGATTGAAAATGATTAGCCTTGAAGTTGATATGGAAGAACTTAGTAAAGTCACTGGAAGCACATAGCAAGAGATTAGGAAACTCATAATCTCGAGTACACGGGGGAGGGGGTGGGGGGGGGGGTGGGGGGTGGCGGAAGAATACGATGTATCTGTGATACTATGTGAGTATTACTGAACTGCTCGGGGAAGGAGAGCAGAGCGATCAGCAGTATCTCGAACTGCCCCCTACAGGCGTGTGGTACACGTGCATGTTTCAACTCAGGTAGCAGGGTAATTGTGCCGACCTCACCAGAGATAGAGCGATCCACAGCAGAGCACTAGCAACAGAAAATCTCAGCTAACCGGCGGGGATACGGTTTGCCTGGCTTTGTAGGCCATTTGACTGCTGATGGGAAGGCAGGGGTGCCTTGTGCGGAGTCAGAAGCTGGGCGAGCGCAGGGCTCGTGCGGGTGTGAACTCATCGCCAGATGGTCATTAATATTTCTGCCGCTATAGCAGACTGACAGGGTACAGGAAGTGAGCAGGGAGTAGTGATCAGCGACTGCATGGCTGTCCGAGGCGTTTTGCCTTCGATACAGCGAATGGCACTGTTTCGTGCGGTTTGTAGTCCTTCCACCTGATCCTCTCGCATTGCGGTTGATAATAGCCATAAAACAGGTCGGTCATAATGACCACCTTCGCAGACACCTGACGAGAGCGTCTTGATAGGCATCGGCAAGGGCGCCACAGGGCACCAATTGTCTTGGCAACCTTGGTGACCACAGTCATAGTTAACATGGGTGTCCCAATTTAGGCAATTGGCAAGGTGAACGCCGAGGTAGCGCGCAGAAGATGCTGAAGGGAGGAGACACTCGCCGCTTTTGACTGTTATCTCCGGTACATTATTGTGTGGATTGATAGTCAGAACCTTCGTCTTGTCGGCGTTCAAGATGAGGCCTCGAGACTTCGGCCAATCGGCCAGAGCAGTTTCTGCTGTGGTGAGGGTTCTGGACGCTTCAGCCGCTGAGATCTGGGGGTCGTACATGGCTATATCATCTGGAAATTGTACACTTGGCACATGCAAGGAAACCGACATCTCGTGTCTATATACTGAAGAGGCCAGACTATAGAACAGGACCGGTGGGCATCCCGCTGGTGCAAGCCAGAGCAGAGCTGATTGAAGGGGAGAGGAAGATCTGCTGCTAGCGGCCGGACAAGTAGTCGTCGACCACATTGAGGGCAATTCCAGAAATTACAACAGCAAGGTCTCGGATCAAATTGTAGTGGCGCCCTTCATCACTAAAGCCTTCGAATTTTCTAGTTGGCACAGCCTTGTGATCTTGCCACTGTCTCTCGTAGATTGTACATCAGCATTTTCCGTAGAACATTTCTTGCGGAGAGCAAATTGTGTTTTGGGTAGTGCCTTGCTCAAGTCCAAATGACGAAAAAGCTGGTGTTGTACTATTCTCTTCAGCAACTTGGTACTATTGCGATAAAGGATACAGGTCTATAGTTGGTTAGGAGTTGGGGCCTTGTTCAGTGGCACAACAGACGCCAATATAAATCCAGATGGAATGGTTCCAGTCCTCAGCGAGTTGCAGAAAAGCACAGCAAGAGAATATGCCAACAAGTCAGCACAATGCTGTAGCAGAGAGCCCGGTTTGCCGTCACAACCTGTGGCTTTACGCGCATACAAATTGTCAAGGAGACGTCGGACGTCCGCAGGAGTCACAGGATCAGGTTAGGTCAAGGTCACAGGTCCAGCGGGACCTTGCGGGGTGCAGAGCTTTTCAGAACAGTCCGCATCGGTGACAATGGAGTGGAACGTGTGGCCCACCGCAATGATGCTACAACTAGGATCTTCGCGGCGACATGAATGCCCAGTGCGGCGAACAACTCTTCAACTCCAAGCAACAACGTGCATCCTTTCACGTCCTTTCTTTTTATTGGTTGTTCCAGCCCTGCTGCTCCCTCACCTCCACCTTTAGGCACTGCATATTCACATGGATTATTCTGATTTTGGTGGCGGCCTTGGCTGTCATTAGCGGTGTCGTTGCCATTTTATGGTTTACTGTATCTGGCATATCATATTTCGTAAAATAATCCTGCGCTATACAAGGATGACACGTAGAATTGCATTGACAACACCAAAGATCAGAAAAATGCATCCTCGTGAGCGAGATACACTCTGAAAGGAAGGTGAAGAAGACAATGTAAATGGAATTCTCACGTTTCACATTGCCACTTTGAAGGAAGGCAAAATATACTGGAGTGTGTCCTAATCGCTGCTTCCAAGAAAGTATTACTCTAAATCAACTGATGTTCGCTGGCGATTTAATTCCGCTGATTTTGCCGTTTGGTACCAACGGGCCAAAGTAAATGTCAGTCCAAAGTATGTCATAGAGGCAAATGATGCATAATTGAGCCATTGCTACATTTGAGAGCACCAGCTTCCGATCGATGTCTTTTTGCAAACTCCAATCTGCCAAAGTTGAATATCGGCCAGAAGTTTCATTTCGAGATCGGCCAAAGTTTCTCACCGACCTAAACACCTTGATTCAAAGTAACGAGATGGGCAGAAAGCATGCCTGCACTACACATTGAGCAGTCAAAGAGATGGTGGACAAGCCGTTGATTATCCACTCTCATTGTAATATCAAAAAGTATTCTTTTTAGACCAAAGACAACTTCATGACTATTACCGCCGAAGTCGCAACATCTAAGTTCAAAAGAGTGGTATATTATTTCTATCTTTATTAATCAAATATACCACTCTTTGGTCGAAAAAGAATACTTTTTGATACTACTTTGTTCTAGCAGTGTTGATGATTTGAGTGTATGTGTCTCTTTGTCTGTCTGTGTTTCCTGCCGTTTGTCTGTCTGCATGTATGCACATCTGTCCGTGTCACATTGAGAAAAGGCCAGGGTCTCCATACGATGACATTTTACTAGTAAAGGTTCAGCGGTGTGTTCGTCTGATTCTGTGTGTTATGCCTGCTCATGTTGACATTTGTGCTTGGTGGGGCATGCGGACATGTGTACCGAACACATTGCAACGGGTTTTAATCTAATGGGCATCTAGACATTGATGAATGTCAAAATGGCAAACACAACTGCAACGAAATGGTCAATAGTGACAACAGACAATGCCAGAATTTGAACGGCTCATACCATTGTCCCTGTCTTCCTGGATATGCTGGGTCGCAATGTGACGGTGAGTAATTTCGACAAGTCCCTATTCACAAATGCATGAACTATTTAACTAATAATTTATTGCAACATCCCAAGACTCAGTGAAAACATAGGCCGATGCGAAGAGAATTCTATTCAAATTTACTAGGACAGTCCCCAAGACGGGGTGCCCTGATCTTTTATTAAAGTAATGCATAGTGACATTTCGATGTATTGGGCTGTGATTAGCAGATGTTGCAATAGGGGCCGTGTATGTTCATCGTTTCAGACCGTGGGGTATTTCGGAAGAAGTTGTGAACTCAATTCCCCCAGATTTGTAGAAGGGTTTCGAATATCGGATTACACCTTGTTCCATTTGTGCCTAGTTCACTACCTGCTTTCCCCGTCACTATTGATATTCTATGTGTGTAACGCTAAAAAGAGGTGTACACACAGGCATACCATGACACAAGAACATCAAAATCATGCCATGGTGTGACTGCATGCACACTTTCTCTACCATTACACTTGGATTCTTGTCTCCACGCCTCCTGTTCAAGTCAATGTGCGCACTGTAATTTTCTCCTGTCTTTGCTTTGCGTGTATATTCACGAACCCGTCACTCAAACGCAACCAACTTTGACACAAATGATCAATTAATTAAAGGTGGATTCGTCTCCATTGTGACCTTCGCCATCTCCATCAGTCTTGTGGTAGTCGTCTCTGGGCTCACGATCTCAATTCTGATAGCTCAGCTGAAGAGAAAATATACGAAAGCAGCCCACATGAGAGTTCAAACTGCTGCTTTACAGAACACGGTGGGAACAGCTGGCAGTAACGCCCTATCCCTAACAGGGAATGACGCCTATGGGACAACGACGTCTGGAGTTCGACAAGATCCTTCTCTGTATGATACTATACAGTAATCTCTATGCATCATTGCTCAGAAGCAGAAGCTCTACATGGATCTTCACGTGCACTGATAGCATAGTGACGTTTGGTGTACATTGTACATGTGCATGTGTATTGTAACTATGCTTGTAAAGTATGAATATTTTTCATACTTCAAAGTTCTTTTTGAAAACTATTCATACTTCCCAACAATCATTCTCACCCTTCTATTCGGCATGTTTTCTCATAATTTTGTAGATCTTAACATTATGCAACATGCATACAAAACAACATACATGTATGTCACTCTGAGCGTTGGGTCTTGTCGGTTTTAGCTAGCCGAACTAGTCTAGCTCTAAAACACATGGTATGTAGCCTCCTCCGGGATTATGCTCCTGCTTCGGCCACCCAAAGCCTAATTGTCGCCAATCCTGAGTAGCCAATCTCCACTGAGCTACCCTATTGCACCCTTCATTTGACACTCTCCTTTCACTCCTATTATCTGTTTGATTATTCGCTATTTTCTGCTGTGTTCCAAAATTAGATCCTCTCTTTCATTCTAAATCTTCCATTTTCCCCCGTGCTTTTATCCCCTCATGCTGATGCTTCCTCCCGAATTTGGTGCGCCTGCCATGTGAAGATGCCGAGACCTCTGGTCGGTTGAGCATGGCAAGCCCCACCAGCACCATCTCACCCCATGCTAGCCTCATGTGCCTGCCAGTAAGTTGTGTATTTAGTTAAACAATAAAACAATGTTTTGAGTGTGACCAGGTTCGAAACATGAAATCAATACGTTTTTAACAGCCTGCACGACGCCTTCGTTTTTAATTGTTTTTATTCGGTCTGGTCTCCCTTTTAGATAATGTTAATACAGTATACATGTATATGTATTTGATATTATTTGAAGTGTGTTCATTTTATAAAGGTAGTTCACGCCTCCTTTCGGGCTATTTTAGCAGGTAATATTCACAAAGGATTTGCAGCGATATGAATTTCCACGATATCTTGTGGTCATCAGGGTGCTATTGCTTCAAGGGCTTACTGACCTTCTTGCCTCATTTTTTCATCTCTCTTATATCATGCTTGCTGTGCTCTTCTATTCTTGGTTGAATCCACCCCTACCCGTAATAGCTCCTCGTCCACACAAGCGCTCAACTGTATCGAATTTTGAAGTTTCAACTTCACTTTAGTCTGCTTTCCATCAGAAAGAATGATGTTCTGGCACTCCCCTCGGGTACCATCGCAAGAATGAGTTCTGTGTGTTGAGCAAACATCTTTTGACACCTTGCTTCTTTAACTTAATTAAGAGAGCATGTCTGAAAAAACCAGAACATTTGTGCAAGTCGATCTCTCAGATTTCGCTCAAATGTTGCAGGAAAGTTTCCTTTGGGGTGTAGATCGACTATGCAAAGCCCGCGGAAAAGTTTCTGAAGCGAACTTTGAAATTGGGATACCCCTCACAATTGTGGAAAAATCACATGATTCATGAGACAACAAACGAACCACGCCACAGCGTACAAGAACAAGCTACCAACAAAACTCCATCAAGCCAACATTACATCACCTTAGTGGAGTTCTTGGAGTAGCACTGCTTAGCCACGTCAGCATCCCAGAAGCCGAGGACCATCATCCCTCGACGCCAGAAATGATCGTCTTGAAGATTGCCAAATTACAAGCGCTGATAACACAGCGAGCTTCGTCCTCACTAAGCAAACACTATATGTCATGCAGGTTCTCACACGCAACGGGAACACTTCGTGGTAGTAAAATAGATATTTCGCAAACAACAAAAAGACAACTCTTTCTCTTCCTTTCGAAGAACCGAACTTGCCGGGCCTCCTCGAAAAGCCAACCAACTCTGAAAAAAACCTACACTACACTAGTACGGGATTCAGCGCAGAGCAAAAAATAATCATGAGTCATTATACAATACATGCAGTGTAGCCGTGAAAACTGGTGAATAAAGAATGCAGTAGGTTGGCAGCACGTGACCCGTCGTACCGCAGTACGCGACGGCGTCGCGGCTTAGAAATGAAAGGAAACACTGCGAGAAAAGACAAAACGAAAATACATGTCCCTTTGTCAAAACTTAGAAGAAACAAACAAAATGCGACCAAGAATCATTTTGAGAGTCAACGTCAATACTCTTGTGCAGTTGTGCAAATTCTTGTCTTGCACTGTGCAACGCAAGAAACAAACAACCTACTAAATAACTCGTGAACTAACTGTAGGCTAAATCACTACATGTACGCGAAATTGCGTTCCTAAATAAACTGAATTTCTGAGACATTTCATATTTCACATCCTGAGGGAAATATTGAATAAATAGTAAATATGTAAAAAGGCGACGTGGAGACAATAATCTTAATAATGCAATGAATATAACTAAATGCGCACTCATATCACAACCATGGGGACGAATCATGTATTCCAGAACGTTTTCTTGTCACAATTATCAATGGAATTCGTGACTAAAGAGAATGATGAAACTACAATAGGATGTATACACTTGCAGTGGAACAGCGAGGATACAAGCATAGTAAGAAAAATAGCACAAACCTAGGAACAATTTGCACAGGTAACTGCAAGTGTATAAATCCTATTGTAGTTTCATCATTCTCTTTAGTCACGAATTCCATTGATAATTGTGACAAGAAAACGTTCTGGAATACATGATTCGTCCCCATGGTTGTGATATGAGTGCGCATTTAGTTATATTCATTGCATTATTAAAATAGTAAATACATCATAAAAAAACACATGGCCACGACGGCCTTCCCAACATACCCCCTTGATACATCCTTATCAAAGAATGAGTAAAATAAGAAAAGAGATCGAACTGACTAAAAATTGCGATAAGTCCATCTAAAACGTGCGTACGGACTGTCAGCCTTTCACAACCGGACATAGCCGTACAACTGACCTGGTTACCTGCTTGCCTCCGACCTGGAGCTTAGCGACACGCACTCTGCCGTCAGAACCAGGGTAGACCTCCAACACCCGTCCAAGAGGCCACCTGCCACGGGGGGTATCAGCTGACACAACGAGGACGATGTCACCGACACTGAGATCCGGGTACTCTTTCCACCACTTGGAGCGACGATTCAGGGCTGGTATCCACTCCTGCATCCACCTTCGCCAGACATGGGATACAAGCATTTGGACGTGTTGCCAGCGGCGCCGAAGACACGGTGACTCGACGGCAGGATGATAGTGCTCAATGCGTCCAACCAGGAAGTGATTCGGTGTGAGTGGCAAGTCGTCGCGGCTGTCACTAGAGGGAGGAACAATTGGACGAGAGTTGAGTAGCGCCTCTGCGCTGCAGCATGCTGTTCGCAGCTCCTCATCGGTGATTGATGCCTGCTGTAGAACATGGTAAATAGCCTTCTTTGCTGCTTTTACCATACTTTCGTGAACGCCTCCAAAGTGTGGTGTCTGGGCAGGGATGAAATGCCACTTGATCCTCTTCATGGTAGCGCTGTGCTCCAGGACGTGTTGCTCCTGCTCGGTGAAAATCTCCGATAGCTCACGATTAGCCCCGACGAAGTTCGTTCCATTGTCCGAGAGCACTTCAGCAGGAACACCACGGCGGTTGCACATTCGTTGAAAGGCGTTCAGAAAGCTGTCGGTATCCAAACCTGTGGCCATTTCCAGATGCACAGCACGACAAAGACAGCAGGTGAAGACGCACAAGTACCGCTTAGCTCGTCGTTGCCCTAGACCCTGTACTGTTGCGAATGGTCCAGCAAAGTCTACGGCCACGCGACTGAAAGCGTGGAGAGGCTCCTTCAACCGGATCTTGGGCAATGGTGCCATGATCTGCGTGGCTGGTTGTGCTTTACGAAATTGACATTTCACACAGGAACGTTCGTACTCCCGGATGGCTTCTCGAATCGCCACGATCCAATATTTCCTCATGAGGACTGCCATAGTGTGAGCTGTACCTGCGACGTGATGGTCTGCCTCATGCTGGTCTCTGATCACTAGCTGTGTTATCCAGCAAGACCGCGGCAAGATGATCGGGTGCTTGGCGTCTTGACTGAGATACTGTGCCTCTTGGAGCCGTCCTGTCATTCTCATCACACCAACTTCATCCAAGAACGGGGTCAGGCTGCTCAGTGGACTGGTTGCCGGTAATGGTTTGCCCTTCTGCAGTGACGAATATTCAGCAAAGGCGTCCTTCTGGCTTGACCGAATAATGGCCTGGAGGCTGTTCTCGACCTCCTCGACCGTCAGCTGACCATACTGTCTCTGCGTGGCTGGGATTCGGCAGTTTGAAGAAAAGCGCAGCACCCACGCCGTCAAGCGGACCAGCCGCTGAAGCGAAGAGAATCGTTCAGGCGCCAGAACCCACTCGCTCATCGAGAGGAAAGACACACATGTCACTTGGTGGTGTTGCTGACCTTCTTCGGGTGGTTTGGCTTTCGTGCGGACCTCTGGTGCAGCTGGAACGTTGAATCTCTCGGGCTGCTGTGGCCGTTCTTCGATGCTCTGAACGAGATATGACGGACCGTTCCACCACAGCACATTCATCGCGATAGTAGCGCTTGATGTTCCTCGTGACAGGATGTCAGCTGGATTCACCGCCGTCGGAACGTAGAACCACTGACTAGGCGAGGAAGAAGCCTGGATCCCACCGACGCGGTTGGCCACGAATGGCTTGAAGACCCGGCTGCTGTTCCTTATCCACCACAGGACATCCATGCTGTCACTCCAGAACACGACATTCTCCATTGCGATGGCGAGTGTCTTGGCTACGGACACACCAAGACGACATCCGATGACTGCTCCCATTAGCTCGAGTCGGGGGATGCTAACAGCTGATAACGGTGCCACTTTGGCTCGAGCCATGACGAATCGACTGGACCTCGTACCATCCTGGTACACATGACAGAGATAAGCGACTGCTCCATATGCATCTTGCGAGGCATCGCAGAATACATGTCGCTTAGTCTCCACCACCTCTTCATCGCGTTGAAGACACCGGTGAACTCGGACATCCTGGAGTGCATCCATGTCGGCACACCACTTTTGCGCCTCTGCGCCTAGCTCTGGCGGCAGAGAGTCGTCCCAGTCAGCACCTGCTAGCCACATCTTCTGGAACAACATCCGACCAACTATGGTGAATGGCAGTACGAATCCGATCGGATCAAACAATGTGGCTAGGTTCTTCAAGAACGCTCTCTTGGTGACAATGTCTAATGGCGGCTTGACATGAATCAGGAACTCGTCTTCCTCTGCTCGCCACTTAACTCCGAGAGTCTTGGTCGTCGGCAGGATTCCACTAGCGAGGTCCACTTCCTTGGCTCGGTCCTCCTCGGGGACTTCGGCGAGCACCTCAACATTGTTGGAAATCCATTTTCGCACATGCATTCCAGCGAGACCCCACAGCGCCGTAAGCTCGTGGTACAGCTGAATCGCTAGCTCTGTTGACTTTGTCGAGTCCATTGAATCGTCCATGTACGTGGACTTCAACACGGTTTCTGCTGCCATAGGAAACTCCTCCTGGTTCCGCCGCGCATGCTCTTGCGAGACCAGTTGAGCTAAGAATGGAGATGCATTGATCCCGAACACCACTCTATTGTACTGGTAAACGGCCGGTTGGTCCTCCGTATCTTCTCGCCAAAGAAATCGATGGAACTGTCGGTCATCCTCTTCCAACTCGATTTGTAGATACATCTCTGCCACGTCGGCTACCAGTGCATTTGGGTGTCGCCGAAACCTCAGGAGAACGTCGGTGAGGTCCCGTTGTAGTTTGGGCCCAGTGCTGATGTAGTCATTCAGACACTTGCCTTTCGTCTTTGCTGCTGCATCAAAGACCACACGCACCTTTGTGGATGTAGCCCCAGGTCGTACAACAGCAAAGTGCGGCAGATACCAGCCGTCGCCATCACTTGCGTTGCTGATCTTGCTGATATACCCTTGTTCTAAGTGACGGCGAATCACGGTTCGGTATTCCTCAGCGACGTCTGGCTCCTTCTCCAGGCGTCTCTCTGCTGCGATGAGCCGCTTCATTGCAGTTTCTCGACTGTAGTTGTCCGGAGGTGGTCTCTTGATCCACGGCTCCGAAACCTGGTATCTTCCGTTCTTGTAGGTCATCGACTGGACCGTCTGATCAAAAACGGCTTGATCATCTGCACAGAATTTGTACGACTGGGGAAGTTCCTCCACCTCCCACATCCTTCTCACCAGTGCATTCAGGTCGACGTCCTTTCCGAAGTATGTGCGGGTGAAAT